ATCCAAGGTCAGTATGATATACTCATTGTCTCCTTGTATGTAGATGATCTTATCTGCACAGGAAACAATGTGGAGATGATAGATAAGTTCAAAGAAGATATGATGAAGACCTTCGAAATGACCGACCTTGGCTTAATGAACTACTTCCTCGGAATAGAGGTAAAACAAAAGAAAGAAGGAATATTTATCTCACAGAAGAAATATGTTGAAGCACTACTCAAGAAATTTAAGATAAATGAATGTAAGACAGTCAGCACTCCATTGGTGACAAATGAGAAATTGAAGAAAAATGATGGTGCACCGGAAGCTGATGCATCACGTTACAGAAGTTTGATTGGAAGCTTACTATATCTCACAGCCACACGACCAGACATAACGTATGCTGTAAGTCTTCTTTCAAGATTCATGCAAAGTCCAAGCCAAATTCATTTTGGAACAGCAAAAAGAATCCTAAGATATCTACAAGGCACAAAAGAGTATGGTATATGGTACCGAACTATAAGCAACTCAAAGCTACTTGGCTACACCGACAGTGACTGGGCAGGATCGATCGACGACATGAAAAGCACATCTGGTTATGCCTTTTCACTAGGATCAGGAACAATCTCATGGGCTTCAAAGAAGCAAGCAACAGTTGCGCAATCAACAGCAGAAGCTGAATATGTAGCAGCTGCTGAGACTACAAGTCAAGCAATATGGTTACGAAGAATACTTGAAGAAATGGGAGAAAAACAAAATGAGCCTACTACAATCTACTGCGACAACAAATCAGCTATAGCAATGACAAAGAATCCAGTGCATCATAGTAGAACAAAACACATAGCAATCAAATATCACTTTATCAGGGAAGCAGAAGGAACTAAAGAAATCAAGCTCGAGTATTGCACAACCGAAGATCAAGTTGCAGACATTTTTACTAAAGCACTACCAAGACCAAAATTTGAACAGCTACGCACGAAGCTTGGAGTTACAGAAATTTGCACCAAGGAGGAGTATTAGAAATTGATACAAATTTCTAGAATAGTCTAGAAAAAATACTAAGAACAATCTAGGAAAAACTAATTGTATCTTCTAGTATGTAGATGCTTCTAGAGAAAGTTCTAGAATATTGTAAATCTTCAAGTTTCTAGATAGCTCTAGTATATTGAACCAAATGGTGGATGATGCCTATAAATAGGCATGCTACCTCATTGTAAATGCAATGAAGAAGAAGTAATCAAGACAACAATTCTCCATCTCTTGAGTCTCTTACTAAAACTTCTTCAACTACTATTTTCAACTATTCCTACTAACACATTTCAACTATCTTACTCATCTCACCTACACTAAAAACTATCAGATGTAGAGGATCATATAATGACAGTCTCGGACCGTGGGTATGCCCATTCTATTGTGATTTTGGTGGCTACCAGGTAGGACTGAAAATGGTGCTAAGATTAAAATGTTTTTTTTTTACAAACATTATATTGTCAAAATTTATATTTCTGATCCTATGATATTAGAAAAATGATTACTTAAAGTATCTTGTTAATAATAAGATGAATTGGTCTGGGGAGCAACATGGTTGTTCAAGGCTACTAAGTAGTAGCTCTCTTATTACTTGGATTACGTTAACGAAAACATTCATAATCTTAAAAACTTTGGTAATTTGGGTGAGACACAAAAGATGCTGGCATCAACGTGTTCGTTTCAAAGGTATATTTAAGCGTAATTTTTTTCTTTTAATATTATTATTTATTTATTTTTGTTCATATTTTGCGCTATTGTAACGTTTATGATCTGGCTGATGATTTATCTTTCCTAATTATAACAAGCAGCTTCTGATTAATAGTAGTTCTAATTCTAAGCCTTTCATACTCAATGCGGACAAGTTTGTTTGTGATGTTCTACCTGAATCACCTTTAGTATCAGTCTCCTATATTCTCCAGGTAAAATAATGACCCATAATCCGAAAGTATATAATTAACATTAAGTACATTCGATCATATGATTATTGAATGGAAAGATGATTTGATGTAAATAATATTGAGAAATTAGATTTGAAATCAATTTGGATTGGTTTTGTATAGATCTAATCTATGCAACCCCTAATGTAAATGAAAGTTTAGCATCTATATTTCCTTAATTGTTCTGGTATATTAAAATCATTAAATTTACGGTTTATCTTATCTTATTTCATCATGTTGGCAAATTTGATAAATAATTTTATTCATGAAAATATTTTAATTTACTCATATTTTTATATATTATCTGTTATAGATAAAATTTATATTATTTATCTCGTTTCTATATAAATAAAGTGTGTAATTTAAGAGTTAAAATTTAGGATGTTATATTGTATATTGCTGACCAAAAAATAGGTTTAACATAAGTACCGTAATAATAGTAGAATAAAGACGATGAGACATTGTTATATATGTTTAAATTTATTAGCTTATTAAATTAAAATAAAGTAAAATAACTATAATAAATAAATACAACGAGATCAAATAAAGGAGTGTCTCAAAAAGAATACTTAATTGAATTCGAATTGGTTAATTTGGATTTGATTAAGATTAATTAGAAGCTATTGCAGATCTATAATTTTAATTAATAGGATCGGAACTTAAATCAATATATCTAAATTTGATTTTGGAATTACTAATTAATTTAGGATTTAATTAATTGACACTTGAAGATTTTCACGTGCTTGATTCAAAATTAACAGAGTTGAATTTGAGTTAAATAATTAGTGATTTGTGATAATCTAAGTTGCACTGCTACTATATTCAATTGAACCCAGTGGATAAACGTGATTGCGACAAACAATATAAATTAATATAAACATATAATTTAAAAGTTGTTACTTTTTAAATAAAATAAAATAATTGATTTAGTTTTGTAATTTCTACTAAGAAAAGATAAAACTAAATTTAGTAATCAAAATATTATAATTATTAATAACTTAATCAATTTATATATGATTATTTTATTTTATTTTACTTACTCTTTCATATATTAAAACTAGTCTGTAACTTGTGCAATGTACTTGTATTTTATTTCAGAATAAATATACATATAATTTAATAATTAAAAATATAAAATTATATATTTTATAAATAATTATAGATACAATAAAAAATTAAATAATACTTTTAAAAAAATTATTTTGATTTAAATTAATACTTTTGTTGTATAGTGTAAAAAAATTAATTAAATATCAATTATTAATATATATTAATAAGTATAAATTTAAGAGAAAAGACTCTTTAGACTAAACTATAAATTTAAAAGTAGAAAATTAAGATAAATTGTATAAATGTAAAATAAGTATTTACAGAAAATATAAAAATTTATATAAACTTATAAGGAAAAGTTAAATAATAACTTTAATCTTCAAAATTTTGAGCAAAATTAATAAAAATATGACAAATTGTAAATGAAGTAACTTTACTTTCTATATAGTTGACTCTTGTTTATTGATAAAAAAATAATTTGCAATGGTATGCTTTAAGATCAATAGAAACAATATGTTATTTAGAAGAATAAAAATTTGATGTAATTTTTTAGGATTTTTTTACAATTTATCAATCTGTCAAATAGTTATGAATATGGTGATATTAGATTTAGGTTGTTATTTAGAACGAAGGTGAAAGTTTTATTTTTTATTTTTAAATGGATAAACTAACCCATATTATGCTTAAAAGATTTGTTATGTAATCTTTATAGTTACAACATTGTATGATTTCTCCACGTCAAAAAAAGAAGGAAAAAGTGTAATACTATGAGAATGTCATTTTTAAAGAGTTTAATTAAAAAAAATTATATTTAAGTGTGTTTATAACACTTAAATTTGATTAATAAAATATCTTAAAACATTCCACGTCATTCAAGTTTAGAATAAAAGAAAGAGGCTAAAAATATATATTGTCTAATGTTCTTTTTTTTTTTTTTCTTACTTCCCTAATGTTCTTTATTTCAAGTTATACTAATTAAAAATATTTTAAATTGGGAAATAATTTTCTTTTTTTTATACTATTATTTTTTTTAGTGTTCCGGGGTGATATCAAATATTTAATTTAAAAGTGTTTGTGTACTAGAGTTATAGGATGATTAAAAGAAAAGTTTATATGTTGTAAACTTTTTATAATATTATTCTTTAGTTGTTATTAGATAATGATGATAATTATTTTCTTTGATTATATATATATATATATATATATATTATTAAATATTTATAAATTTAAAATTAGAGAAGGAAGAGGGGCGTTAAGAGTCTAAGAAATAAAATAATAATTTTATTTTACATGTTTTTCTTTATATAAGTTATATAATTATATATGGTTGAAATTAATGGAAGCATCTCTAAAATAAACACGAAGCCTTATTCTATTAATATGACATGTAATTAGAGTTGGTAGCTTAATGACTTTAAATTGGCCTAATAAAATTGTAAGATTCAAACTTTAAATTATTGGATGTAATTAGGTTTGGTGCAAATTTAACAAGCATAAATCTAAATAGTTGGATTTTTTGGAGCTTAAACATCATTTTGTTAGGCCAAATTAATAGAATGTTACAAGATCTAAAACCCAAAAAATTTGTCCTCTCACAATGAAACTTAATGGTTAAAAAGAAAAAGAATGTATGTGGCTTTTAATATTTTCTTTCTTTGATTTGATGCTCATAATTTAGAACATCTATTATACTCTTTCTTTCATTTAAATAAATAGAAAGTATTTTTCTTCTTCTTATTTATGCATTAAAATAATCTTTATGTTTTACTACATTTCTTTTCTATTTTCTTCACTTATTTTCTAAACCAAACAACAAGTAATGAGTTTACTAGCGAAGCACAAAGCAAACTGAAGTATATGATTAGTGAAAACAATGTAAACAAAACATTTTGAGTGGAGTAGAAGGAGGGAGAGCATAGAACCAACCGTTGAGTGGCACGTGGACATGGAAGCAGCGGAAACCAATCGGTGATCTTGATCATGCATCATCATCATCCACGCAGTGCTTATGAGACCCTCTTCTTCATCTCAACCAAGCGATAAGGATAAACAAGCTTACGGTTATGGAAGCCTCAGCATCCATTTGCAGTTACTGCAGAGGAATACCCTTCTCTTTCTCTTCCGCAACACCAAACTCTGCTACTTTCTCACCTTTGCTCGTCAAATCCATGGCCACTCCCAAGCCCCTCCCCTCAGTCTCTAGAACTGTTGGCTCAAGAAAGGTTAGTGCAATACACTGTTACAAGTAGTATTTATCAAGAATGAAATTTTAATGGTTTTGAATCACACAATTATGTTAAATATTTTTCTATTTTAAGGTTACAAAAAATAATCTAAGAATTGATAATTAATATCAAGTCAAATTCCAAACATTTTGTCTAAAATTCCGAAACTTTAGGCAGGGACCTGTTTGCCAGGAAGAGTAGCACTAGCACTTATCAGCTCTTATAAAATTGTAGGACTTTGGGAATGACGTTGTTTTTGTTGAAATGGTTTGTTATGAAAAGTGGCACCTCCGTTGAGAATTACCTGTTTGGAACCAAAAAATACATAAAGAAAACGTTGTGATGGTTGTTAGCTCTTAAATATTGTAGGACTTGTTCAAGAAAGTTTTCAACATTTGAAGGTACAGCGGGTTAATGGCATTATGGGATAACAAATAACGTAACTTAAAACGTGTTTTTGGGGGTGAACTGGTGTTTTCTTACAATGCAGAATTCAACTGTGTTCCCACTGGGGGAACAAGGCCCTAGGAGCAGTCCTGGGATAACTGCACCTCCCATCAAGCTTTTGACAAGAATGGAGCAGCTGAAACTATTGAGCAAAGCAGAGAAAGCTGGGTTGCTATCTGCAGCAGAGAAGTTTGGGTTCTCCCTTTCTGCTATAGAGAAACTTGGACTCCTCTCAAAAGCAGAAGACTTGGGTGTGTTATCTGCTGCCACTGATCCAGCAACTCCAGGAACACTCTTAACCCTCAGTTTGGCTTTGCTGCTCTTGGGACCCTTGTTTGTTTACTTGGTTCCTGAGGATAACCTTGGAGAAGTGGGTTTGCAGATTGTTGTTGCCTTCATTTGTGTACTTGCTGGTTCTGCTGGTTTTGCTGCATCAAACTTTGTATCCAATTTGCAGAAATCAAAATAAACTTTATAACTTTCTAATTTCTCTTTAGGCCCCTTAAAGGTTGTAGTATGTTTGCTTTAGCATATTTTGGGGAAACAATGAGATAACTTTTGGCACAAAGAAAAAAAAAAATCCTCATAAATAATCTTTCCAAACTGGTTCTCTTTCCCTCAGCAGCTTGCCATCACCAACAATAATAGGTGCAGCCTGAAAATAATTTTAGCATATCTACAGATATTATTGGTAGATTATGAAATGTAGTGATTGATAAGTCCAAGCTATCTATCATTAAGATACCTCAACAAGTATGAATCATAAATAATTGTTCCTATATGCCGTGGAACAAAATCAAAATTTAACACCAACAGTACATCAGTATTATTTTCATTTAACTGGGCTCGAGTTTTAGAGAAAGTTTCAGGCCATTTGCTTCTGAATTGCAGTTAACGTATGCCCAAGATCTTTTTAATTCAATGGCTAGTAACCTCAAACTGTTATCAGGTGATTTTTGATTAAAGGAAAACAATGAAACCAAGAATTTAACCTTCTTGCCTGTGCCTCAAGCACCCTATGCAGGACTCAATTCCTCACATTCAACCCGAGCTCACTCTAGAATATAGTCTTGTTTGGAAGTGCAGAAAGTAATATTCACTCCTCAGTATTCCTCAGTTGGATTAAAAGTTTAATAAAGTTGACTGCATCATCCTTGGCCGGAGGGATTGAATCATGACCCACTTGGACTTGAATCATTAAAGGTCTCAAGTCACTTAACAGCCTTTTATCAATTAATAATCATTCTCTGTTATAAGTAGAAATATGGAGGATTTAATTATAATATTTTAGAAATTAGGAATAAAAGATAATTATTTTAACAGTTAATTAGTGTATCAAGAGAGTTAGTCATTAACGAAAATATAGTTGTAAGGGATTGGATAGTATAAAAAGACCCCTCCTTAATCATTTGAGGATATTATGAATGATATTCAGTATTGTGTTTCTTTCTTATTTTCTTGTAATTGGAGAGTAAGTCTGAGAGGGATTTTCAATTTCTTCTTTGACAATTGGTATCAAGAGATCTTGGTAACAGTGGTGACCACCAAAGAACTCGAGACTTGCATGAATTCACTGGAGAAAACATTCACAAATTCTCAAGATACAACACAGAAAACATTGTAGTTGTTACAAAAATCTATGGATGGCCTTATCGCATCAATGGCAGCGCTTAATACCGACAAAAATGGGGCGCTAGAGATGGAAGTTCACAGTGCGACACAAGAAGTTTCGTCTTCAGTTCTGGACAGAGCTCAAATTAATTTTCCTTCTTTCGATGGAACTAACTTCCGCCATTGGAGAGCCAACAATTCTTCGATTTGGAAGGGACTCCAGAAGACCACCGTGGCCGTTTATTGTTGCTTTCAATGGACGGAAAAGCGTTTGCATGGTAGAGACATTACGTGCAGACAACGGATTTCAAGAACAAATCTTGGAGTCAAATCCTTCAAGATGTGGGTTATCGCTTTGACGATGGAGCTTTCGACGATCTTGTGACTGAATTAGCACGACTAAAACAAAAAGGGCCCTTGATTGAATATTTGGAGGTGTTTGACAATTTGCTGGCTCGTGTCACTATCTCAAAAGAGATAGCTCTGAGTTTCTTTCTTTCTTAATTGAAACTTGAGTTAGAAAAATCTGCCAGAGTACATAAACCTTCATCACTTTAAGAACCAGTCCGTTTAGCGAGGTTGCAAGATAAATTTTTTCACAAGATGACAAAGAAATTTGCAATCGGAAGATCTGCAAACCCTGAGCTGAGATGTCCCTATTTTCAATAAGTATTTCTCAATGTCATCCCATTTCTTGTGGTGAATAAGGAACAAATTAAAGTGTTTAATAACTACTCAATTTCAAATGTATACACATCAACATGCATATTATATTTATGTCCTCAAACACAATATTTAGAGTACATAATATAATATTACATACCGTCTAGATTACTCTCAACATTATTTAACTATAGAATATTACAAGGAAGGATAACAGTCTAGGATAGTATACTGCACATAATACATAGATAAACTAAATTCCTCCTCTCCTCTTGACTCCTTCCTTATTCATCCAATCTCCCTGGAGGAGGGTCGAGATCAATGCCAAGGTATGCAGCTGCATGGCAGAGAGGAAAAGGGACCTCCACTCTAGCTTCTCCCTGTATAATAGTAGGACTAACATAGGGATTATTAACAGTAGATATAGTTAAGATAATAAAGCCTTGAAATATGATGGTCTGGTTGGAGTCATTGAAACTCCACTCTCTAGTCCCCATACTAAAGGTCATGGTACGCGCAGGAGTAATTGGTGCACCTTCATTCATTCCGCATCCATATACATTTTGGACACATCATAGAAAAAGATAGGGGTGAGTACAAATATTCATAAACAATCGAATAGACAATACTCATGTTTAAACGAACAAAACATCAATTAGACATCAACAATACCAAGCATTACACAATATGTTTGCTTAAATGAACAAAATAACATTCAAGCATTAAGCAATAATCATTTAGTATCTTTTATTTTCGAGTCCTCCATGGAGTAATTAATTTAATTATCTAACATTTTAATTTCAGGTTGAGATTGAGAGTTCTGTGCCTGCAATCCAGTTAGTGTCATAGGTACATTTTCTCCCTTCACCGGAGACAGAACATAAGTGCATAATTCTCACTTTATGATCACTACCAGCAGCCCACACTCAAACCAATCTTGGTATGCTCTAGTGCCTGTCAGGATAGGCTAGCAAAGTTACGACTGCCTACGACACAAGTTAGCTAGATTTGGTCCCGTGTAAGTCTTAGGCACTCTCCTATCTCCTATGATAAATACCAACACTATTTGCTCCTCGCCTGTATCGTGGCGTATTCAACCTCTTTCACAATCATAAACACAAATAATATCATAGCCATTGATTGTCCAATAGGCACATTATAATATTTCTATTTTAAGAGAACAATCAATTACATGGACATGGCTAACAATCAAATTTTTTCAGATTTCATGAACTAACTTGTAAAATTCATAATTAATTCGATACGAGTCCAAACATCATGAAATCACTAAGGTTTTCTTCCTTTAAATGTCTACTGTAATATAAAATTTCAGCCAAAATACAAAAGCTTCCAAATAATTAATCAAGTCTCAGCTTACCTCTAATGTTCTCAGATCATTTCACTAAACAGCTAGCATATTATAAAATTCATAATAAATTCAATTCTCATCTAAAACACACGAGGCCAGTGAGATTATTCCCATTAACATGTCTATGTTCATGTAAAAATACTTCCAAAATAAAAATATTTCCAGACATCAATTCGTGTTTTAATTTCTCAGTACATGTCATAGAATAGCACAATTTAACAACAGCATATTGGAAAAATCATAAATCATTCAATTCATCACCAAAACTCATGAAATTAGTGGCATCCTTTTAATTTGTTTATCTAGTTTCACGGAAAAATATCATTAAAAATTTATAACTTCCAGATTCCAAATTAAGCCCTAAACATTCTCTATTACTCACACTAACACACTTATCAGAATCAGCTAATTAGAAAAGTTATAACTATTTTATTTTAAGTCCAAAATTCATCAAACCAGTGAGAATATTTCTATTATAGTCTCTATTTTTACAAAACAATAACAATAAAATAACGCCACTTATACATTTTAAAACGAAAGGAGATTTCTCAGTAGCATGCACAAAATGTTACCCTCATACAACAGCACCTTGAGAAAATCATAAGTAATTCATTTTAATTCCAAAAATATCAAACTCAGTGAGCATATTTTCCTCATAAATTATAGTTTAAGAGAAAAATATAAATAAAATACAATTACACATGAATTATAAGAAGAAAATGATTTAAAGTATGCAGTTCTCAGAAAACATTTACACATAACCGAATATTCAATAATTCATAACTATTTTATTTCAATTCCAAATCAAGTGAAACCAGTGAGTATACTTCCATTGAGAAGTATATTTTCATAGAAAAATGTCAATAAAATAATGCTCCAAACACACAGTGAGACGAAAATAAGTCAAGATATACTGCTCCAGAATACCATTTTCATGCAACAGAAATTTATAAAAATCATAACTAATTAAATATAAACCCAAATAAAATAAACCCAGCGGGAAAATAATATAAATTTTACTATCTTCATGAATAAAATACTAAAAAAAACTCTTTTAAAGATTTTCTCATATTTTACATTATTTACACTTTAATCCTTATATTTTATATTAATTGAGAAAAGGTCATTGTCTCCAATTTGGTAAGCATCAAATTGTCCATTATGTCTTCCATGTGTTCAAGGTCATTAATTCATGTCCAAATATGGTTCAAATTATTCTCTTGGTCCTACCACACATGTGGACAAGGATCTTACATATCTAAGGTATTTTTGGTCCAAGTCTATAGTATCTTCCTATTTTTTTAGGTTCAATCTTTCAAATTTATTATTTTAAAGCTTGTTCTCATCATTTGTTCATGTAGTCCATAGGTCCAAATATGTCCAAAAGTCCAAGGGTCTTCATCATAGTCACTTTCTATTTTTAATCCATTTCCTTTTAGAAGTTTCTTTCATAATTTTTTTTTTCAAAAATATTTTAGAAATTTATTTTGACTCCAAAATAATTTCAATCAAAAGAAGATCATGAATCCAACTTAGATATCATCATAAGAATAAGTCACAAAATGAAACATGCAAGATTTTCATACAACCAACCACATAACAAGCAAAGTCATCATCAACACTTTGTGGTTCTTAGTAATTTCCATGCATTTATTTATTTCAATCAAAATTTTAATCATGGGTTCATCAAAACACACAACTTCAATCACAACCAAAAGGGTTAAGGCTCCCCTTGACTCAAAACCATTTAAACAAGGTATTCCCCTTGATTATGAAAAGTACCCTCCCCCTTACTTGGTGTTTTTGGATTGATCTTGCCTTGATCTTTGGGTGATCCTTCTCCTCTTCCCTTTTGCTTTATTTCACCTCTTGGAAGTGAGTATCTCCTTCCTTGGCCTCCTACTTCCTCAAGTGCCAAATAGTATACAAAAAGAAAGTTGGGGGCTTT